GTGACTTGTGTGCGATGTCTTACTCAATCGAGGAATATTTTAATATGTTGATGTGTCTCTGGAAATGTAACTGCAATTATGCAGCAGCACGAAGATTTACGGGGAGTGCTTTGCTACTCCACGAAATATACAATTGCCGTCGGCAATGACGTTCCAACGACTTCACATTCGTATGTACAATACTGGCAGTGTGCATGGCCGTGATCAACAACGTACAGATTCAGGAAGACCGAGGATGTACGACGACGACATCGAGAAGCACATTCTCAACATGTTTGAGGAAGATGCGACGCGGAGCACGCGCTCGGTGGCACGTGAACTAGGTGTGAACCATATGCGTGTTTGGAGAGCCCTCAAAGATGATGGCCAGCACCCATATCATTATCGTCGAGTTCAGTGTCTTCTTCCTAACGACTACGAGCCGAGAATGGATTACTGTAGATGGTTACTTGATAAGGTTGAAGGAGATTCTGAGTTTTTGAACCGCGTACTTTTTACGGATGAATGCTCTTTTGTAAGAACAGGTGTATTTAATGCTCATAATGAACACGTATGGTCAACGACAAATCCGCATTCGTATAAACCAAGCCACTTTCAACACCGATGGAAAATCAATGTGTGGGCGGGAATTATAGGTGACAAAATTATTGGTCCGTATTTCCTAGACCACACAATGAGCGGTGAAAACTACGGACGTTTTTTGCGAGAAGAACTAAGCAATGAACTTGACGAAATAAATTTAGACCTCGTTCGTCGCATGTGGTTTCAACACGATGGTGCTCCACCGCATTTCTCCCGTTGTGTAAGAAGTTTTTTGGATACTGAGTTCGGTGAAAGATGGATTGACCGCGGTGGACCGGTCAACTGGCCGGCACGATCTCCTGATCTCACACCTTTAGATTTTTATCTCTAGGGTACGATTAAGCAGACTGTATTCCAAAAAACATGCGATACCGAGGTAGAAATGCGTATGCGTATAGTCGCAGCCTTTGAAAAAATAAATTCCGAAATGTCTGTTATGCAACGCGTGCGTTCAGACATTATAAGTCGGTGTCACAAATGTATAGAGGTACAAGGTGGACATATTGAACATCTTCGTCGTCAAGTAGACATAGTGATAAATTAGTGTTTGACTATAACAGCTGTGATGTGACGAGGTCACAACCTCAGTGTGCAGTTAGTGTAGGTAAGACGCGCGCGCGCGCCCCCGTCTTTGATGTACGTCACTGCCGGCCGCCACCCGCCACTGTCGATAATTCCAGGCAGAGGTAATCAATCCACATAAAATTTACAAATATTATTTGATTAAAATTTAATTTGATTATTTTTATATCGAGTTTTCTGAAGTAAAGTTATTTCTATACGTTTGAATACTGATTCTGATAACGCACTTAACGGGAACCACAGGGTTTTTGTTACATGTTGTATATATATATAACATCAATGTTACATTCTCCTAAATTTATTACGTAACATTATCCTAAAATGTTATATAGATAAAGTCAAATTAGTTTTTATTTTAGATATACATATACCATTAATAGAAAAAGAAACGTATAATTATTACAAGATTATTCCCGTCCCTATAAAGAAATTGGCCAACACCTATACCATAATTCCTAATTACCCCTCTACCTATTAGTGATTGGTTTGAAACGCAGAAACGTAGTAAGCCTGTGCACCCAAATAGAACCAACAAACAATTGTGTTCGGAGGAAAATATGGCACCAGTTGATGAAGAACCATATATTGAGGAAATAATGCTAATTAAAAATAACTTTAGTAATTGCCATCAACATCAAATAAAGATAGAGAAGTTGAAAATATAGAAAATAACTTTTGACCACTGGATACTCTATGCAGAAGACGATGTTATACTGACGGAGCAGTGCAAAGATGATACCCACAGATTTAATCTACAGGGGACATACATCTTGACGCCAAGCATAGGTTGCAGCATACAAATGGGAAAATAACCATTGGCCTAACGAGCAACATGTCGGAAGCCTGTCTACAGATACCACTTGTGAAGATTCCGGAGGTGCAGTATGACGTGATGAAAGAAGAAAAGAAGTTGGACTTAACAAACGTGGATTTCAGTGACGTTAAAGAAATTATAAATAGTGCTAGAAATAGTAATAGTGAAATGGTGGTGGAAACCCTCGTGACGAATAAAATAAGTATATGGACTTTAAGTTTTTATGTTGTGGTACTGTTAATTATAATTGTTATTATACTTAAATGGAAACTTCATAGTTTAAGTCAGAGACAAAATTCTCCAAAGTAAACTTCATCTCACATTTCTACAGTCCGCTGGCGGCGGCACGCTTTTGTCGCGGCACTACCACAGAGGGCCTAGGACTCGATTCTGCCATATCTCCATTCCATATCAATGAAAGATTGACCAAATCAGTTCGCAGTTTACACGCTCGGCGCGCGGAGGTGCATAGAATACCTACATTATATGGACTTTTAAAATCGTAACGGTGCAATAAAAAAAATTGTTTAACATATAAATACTCTAAAATGGTGCAGTGTAAGAAGTGTAAACAGTATGTGTCCTTATCAAGGGATGAGGTGATCAAGTGTAAGGGTTCTTGTGAGTCTGTATTTCACAAAAAATGTGTTCGAAACCTTAAGAAGCATATGCAGAAAGAAATTTGTGAAGAATGCCAAAAGAACGAAGCCCTGAAAGAATTAGCAAGCCCACCATTGATGTTGATCTCAGTAAGACATCAGTGGAAACGTTGCTAGGTGAGGTAAACAAAAAGTTAGAGATTACCTATAAAATGGAAAGGAGCATTGAAGAACTCAAGGATACAGTAGACTTCTACGCTGATCAATACCATATATAGTACCAATCGATTATTGAATTCAAAGAGGAAGCTGAGAGAAAAATCAAAAAAATGGAGAGTAAAAATACCTATCTGGAAAAATGTAACAAAGCAATGAAGGAAAGGATCTTGAAAATAGAGCAGAGGGAGAAGGAAAATAACGTAGAAATTGCTGGTCTGGAGAGGAAAAATAATGAACAAATTTTTGAGGTCGTAAATGTTATAGCGGAAAAGTATAACTTGTGCAAGGCTGATATTGTCGACGTAAAGAGGGTAGGAAGAACAAAACCAGAAAGAACAAAGCCGCAACCAGTTATAGTTACTCTTCGGTCGATATCGGCACGTGATAAATGGCTCAGTCTTCGCAAAACGACATTAACGAATGATCACGTATATGGTAATAATTCCAAAAGTTCGATTTATATTAATGAGGACCTACCTAAATACAAGCGACAATTATTTTGGACCTCAAAGAATGAACTGAAAAAAATTTATAAATACATATGGATACAGAAATCTAATATATTAGTTAAAAAAGAAAATGAAACTAAAATACACAGGATTTCATGTGAGAAAGATATACAAAATCTTAAAGCATAAATATGCAACTAGCGTAATGTGGATACACTACGTGGTTTTTTGTTAACCTTAAAATTCGAAAATTTTAATGAAAGCATCACAAATGTACAATTTAATAGATTTAAAAATATTATTAAATGGAGTAAACAATGGGGCACAGACTATAATCCACACTAATATTTTTTTTTTGTTTAAAAAACGTTACCCCTACACTAAGATTTTCTCTTGTATCGTGGGGGCAGTTTACAAACATAAATTGCACAAGGACAAACATCCAGACCCGGAACAACTATTTGTAGGCCATACAAATACTTGTTCCGTGCGGGATTCGAACCCGCGACCCCCAGCGCAGCCACTCGTTGCTAAGCCACTGCGCCACGGAGTCGTCAAAATATTATATACATACTAATATTATAAATGCGAACACTGAGTCGGCATGGCATGATTTATTGTATGGGGATAGTTCGTTGGCTGTAGAGTGACATAGGCTACTTTTTCCTCGGAAAAACATCTCATTCCCGTGGGAAAATAGAATATGTCCCAATCCGTCTTCGTCGGAATACTCATATACTTTCTGCGCTCTACTGCGTCTTATTTAATGTATCAAGTCCGCCTTATCTGAAAGAACGTTTTAAATTTCTTAGCTCTTGTCACGATTTTTCCTTACGGTCCAAAGAAAACCTTTCGCTCCAATGTCCTGTACACTACTCGACATTTTATGATAAATCTTTTGCTGTTCTTGGAGTAAGACTCTGGAACTCCTTACCCCAGTCCATTAAAAGTGCTCAATCTTTAAATGTGTTCAAGAAACAAATTAAGGAACACTATTTGTCTCTTTAACTCCTCTTTCTTCCTCCTCTTAGTTATGGTCACTAATATACCTTAAGTATGTTGTCATTTTATAGTATATAAGTTGTATTTTTTTTGTCTAATTTAGTGCACCCTACCCATTAATATTATTTTTATTTTTATTAATTTCCTCTTCTGGGTTGTCTGGAAGAGATTGCTATGTAGCAATAAGATCGCCTTTTGTTTATTCCTCATTATTTGTTTATTACTTGTTAATGTTTTGTTGGTGTACAATAAAGAGTATTGTATTGTATTGTATATGTTGCAAAAGTTTGTCCTTCTTTCACGTCGCAACAGAGCGTTGGCATGGCATGAATTTTGGTATGGGGATAGGTCGGTGGCTGTAGAGTGACATAGGCTACTTTTTCTGACGGGTCTTTTATTAGGCTCAGTTTCCTTTCAATTCAGAAAACTGCATCTCTGACGAATCGATTTAGCTTAGTTTCTTTTCAAAAGCCTGCATCCCTGACGGATAATTATGCTCAGTTTCCTTTAATTAAAAAAATATCCCATTTCCATTTGGAATAAACAGGCTATTTTCATGCTTTCCTATACGCTGCGTTTCAAAACATTTAAATAGGCTGACGAATCAATTTTGCTCAGTTTCCTTTCACTGGCTGCATCTCTGACAAATCTATAAAACTTAGTTTTCTTTCAATTCAAAAAAGAAATGGATAGTTCATTTCCCAGTGACCATGCGGGCGAAGCCGCGGGTAACAGCTAGCTATTGACCCAACAATGTACCCAACAATCGACCCATCAATCGACCCAACAATCGACCCATTAATCGACGCATTAATCGACCCAACAATCGACCCAACAATTGACCCAACCATCAACCCAACAATCTACCCAACAATCGACCCAACAATAGACCCAACAATCTACCCAAAAATAAACTCAACAATCGACCCAATAATCGACCCAACAATCAAACCAACAATCATTCAAACAATCAACCCAACAATCAACCAAACAATCAACTCAACAATCAACCTAACAACCAACTCAACGATCAACCCAATAGTAGACCCAGCAATCGATCCACAAATATACCCAACAATCAATCCAACAATCGACCCAAAAATCGATCCAACAATCAATCAACCCAACAATCAACCCAACAATAAACCCTACAACCAACCCAACGATCAACCCAACAATCAACCCAACAATCAACCCAACAATCAACCCAACAATCGACCCAACAATCGACCCAACAATCGACACAACAATCGAACCAACAATCGACCCAATAATCGACCCATCAATCGACCCAACAATCGACCTAACAATCGACCCAACAATCGACCCAAAAATTGATCCAACCCACGACCCAACAATCGACCCAACAATCTACCCAACAATCGCTTCTCCCCGTTCTGGGAAAGGTCTTAGAAAAGCTGTTCGTCAATCGTTTGTCGTGGCAGCTGGGATCGGAGAACAGAATGAGTAGCCGACAGTACGGGTTCGTTGCGCAGAGAGGTACCGAAGACGCTATATGCGATGCGCTAGAGTTTATAAAGCAAGGCATAAATAACAAGGCAATAGTTGTAGTCGTCTCCATAGATATCGAAGGTGCCTTCGATAACGCCTGGTGGCCCGCCATGATCAACTGGCTTGAAAACAAAAAAGTAGACAAATCCATATGCAGATTAATAAGTAGCTATCTCTCTAACAGGCTTATAAAACTTATGTACGCAGGTAACGAAATTATTAGGTAAACCAATAAGGGATGTATACAGGGCTCTACCTGTGGACCACTTCTTTGGAATTTACTTCTAGACCCACTACTAAGAGAAATTGAGGAAAAAGGAACAAATATTCAAGCATACGCGGACGACATTATGTTAATATCCAAAGGGAAAACAGCAAAAGAGATCGAGAATGAGCTTAACCCCATTTTAAACCATATACTAATGAGGGGCAAGCTGCGTAAAATGAAACTGGCAGCCCATAAAATTCAGGCCATTGTAGTAACTAAAAAGAGGAAATTCGAGAACCCAAAACTAACACTCGACAACATCGAAATAAAATGTACTGATAGTGTCAAGATTCTCGGACTCACAATAGACGTCAATCTTAATTTCATAAAACACGTAGATAGAGCTTCAGAAAAGGCGATACAGCTTTACAAAAAGGCGAACTGGGAACTGGAACAGCGAGAGCGAACTGGGGGCTTAACACAGAAATTCTCAGGACAATTTATATCACTGTAGTTGAACCTACAGTCCTTTATGCTGCAGGAGCCTGGGGGTCTGTAGCAGATAAAATGCAAATAAAGACTAGGCTCAACAGAATAACCAGGACATTTAGCATCATGATAAGTAAAGCGCACCGCACATCCTTCATGGTCTCCTGTGTCACATTAGCCAGAATCCTTCCCCTGGATTTAAGAGCAAAAGAAAATGCTGAACTGTCCAAAATAAAAAAATTAAAAACGGCCTAGAGCGTGTCGGGCCATGCTCAGTGTAGGGTTCCGTAGTTTCCCGTCCGTCACAATAAGTTTTCCCACTTATGAGTTTAGAGGTGGGTATCCATTATGTTCGCGCTCCAGCCGGGCTAGCATGAGCCGGAGAGAATATATCCCCGGAGAGAGGATATAATTTTTATCCCTTGCTTAGTTTTATCCACCCTGCGAGCATGATCACGAGACAAAAATTATATCCCCCGATTATATCCACTGACAAGAGATAAAATTATCTTATCTCTATAGTATATCCCCGTAATATCCCTCGTATCATAACGAGTGGACATATGTACATCTCCCCGTCCGTAGCATGGGGCCAAGGGAAAGAGAAAAAATTATCCCTTTTTGACATTTGAAAGGGACAATTTTATCCTCTTTCGCGGACGTGGGTTTAAGTTTATCTTCATACCATTTTGATACAAAAAAAGATGTCTCGAGCCTATTGCAACTACATTTTCGTGTCAGAAATGGAAAAACAAGAAAGAGAATTACATCAGCGACCGATACGTGATCAGAATACTTAATCTATTGAAATTTTCCGACATAAATTTCTACGCCGGTTTCGGATGCTTAAAGATTGTTTTGTATTTGTGTAAATAAGAACTCTATGAGGCTTTAAAGCCTATTAATTCTGTGGATGGACTACCAGTGCATATTGAAGTTAGCATCTATTACAACCACCTTGTCCAAAAACATCGTATATTTGCAATCAATATATGTGGCTTGTGTAACTTATCTTAATATTTTTTCTAGGTAGGTAGTTTACATCTTTCAGTCTCTTGGCAGATGGTAGTTACCTACTAGAGAGGTACGAGTCAAGACCATGGCATGGCTATTGTTCAAACAACAAATAATCAGCAAATACTTGACCTCAGTTATTGGGGCCATCATTAGAATGTGGGGAGCAATATACTTTAATTAGCCTCTTGTGTAGGTAAATACAAGTTTCAGTGCATCTACTCCTTTCATTTTATTTTTGACTAATACTGAAGTGAATGTCATTTCCGGGCATATAACAAGCATGGCAAAATGTAGCTAGAGGATACCTAGCAGAGCATGGTCTGCCAGATATTCTTAGGGCTATTGACTGCACCCATGTTGATATATTTCACCTACCATCCGCGGTCTACAATTCTAATTTAAAATGTTCAACTGGTAATAGCAAACAAGTTATAGTTTTTAAAAACCTAAAACCTAATAATCAAGTTTTTTTTCCAAATAAAGAATAGTAATATTATATTAATCTAATATTCCCCTTTCCCCAAAAAATAACGCATGTGTGCCACAATAGTCTTGCAGGTGGTCCCATGAGACTATAGTCGTCCAGGCTAAAGATTCTACAACCTTTCAGATTGTAGTCACCCCTCAAACATTGAGTTATTGAGTCTCAATAGCTCAATGCCATGATTTAATTACATAGGTTGTGTCAATAATACCCAAGGCGAGTCCATGGTCAAGTCAAATTTAATGATAATAGAATCGGTCTATACTATATTTTAGATAAGTATTATAACGTTTTAAAATAAAGTTAACAAACTTAGTAAAGTTACAATTCAAAGGTTTAAATTAAGAAATATGTTAATTATCTCTGTGGCAACCCAAGTGACAAGTTGTAAAATAATAGCTCCCAACAATTTAGCAAAATTAAATATTGTAATTTGATAATATCCACCTCAATTTTTAGTTACAGTTGTTAAACAATACTTAATTGTGTTGGTAAAATAAGTAAAAGTCATAAGTATTTTAATTAAATACTGTTTTGTGTTTCAACTAAAAGAGACAGCTGTAACGAACATCATTTGAACTTTCTGTAAGTTATTGTAATTTTCTTGTTATCCCTTTAATATTTTAAGATTTACCTTTAAATTAGTGCAGTTTCGGATTTCAATTTGAATTATTTACCTGATAATTTAATTTGAGATCTGTAAGTAGACCCATAGATCTAGATATTAGCTTACTCTGTTTCTTCGGTTTTCTTTCTTTGTTTTCTTTTGCTATTTACACATAATAGTAAAATGAATACACGCAACGCCAAAACGCGCCAAATGGAGAACCAACTTCAAATGGCGCTTCTAGAACTTAAGGCGTCAAAAGAGCAGTGTGAGCTGTTGCTTAAAGAAAGGGATGACAACGAAAAGGAAATAATAAATATAATTACCAAAAATAGTCAACTAAAAAGTGATATGGTTAAGTTGCATAAAGACTACACAAATGTTTTAAAAGAAAGGGATCAGCTTCAGGAAACAGTCGATGAGTTTGACCGATGCAGCAAAGAATATGAGGAATCCCTCAGATTAATTGCTGCATTGCAGTTGCAGTTAAGTGAGCCTAATGAGCAGATTTTGCAATTAAAACAATACTTAGATGAATTGAAAGTGTCCCAAACTCAAAGTCTGTTCAATGAGCTCATAGAATGTAAATCTTCAAAAACATTGCATCCCTCCACAACAATCGATTTGACTGGTGATGATTTTGTCACATTTAGAACAGCAGAAAGGATTACATGCAGTAGAAGAAAATTAAACATAAAAATTAATAAATATGTTAGGAAAGTTCAAAAGTTAATTAAAACAAAAATTAATACAAAAAATTATATAAATATATGTAAGGAAAAGCATGTATTAATTAATAAACTTAAATTATATGCAATTGAGTTGGAAAATATGAAAAACTGTTATGAGACTGAAATAGAGTGTCTCAATTCAGAAGTTTTGTCGCTTAAAAACTCCTTACAAATTATCTCCAATAAATATGCATCGGCTCAGGTTGAGATAAAAGAACACATATTGGACATGAATGATCTGGTAAAGTCATGTAAATACAATGAGGAGCGCTTTGACTCCTTAATAAAACATCAGAGTGAGAATCAACGCTCCATATCATGTTCATCGGGGACAATATGTGTAAATAGCAATGACTCCTTATTTTCACCAACACTCTATGACGGTGCCATAACACAGAATAAAAACTTAAAAAGTAGTTTAAATATTAAAAAACATAAAGTTATTATGTATTGTGATGTATTGTGATGACATAGGTAAAAATTTGGGCATGATGTTAAGGACGCGTTTACAAAATGGATAGGTATAGAATCGCACTACTACATTGACAAAAGTCACACACACACTAGTGTACGCACGGTTGGCTGTGGGAATCGTAGTCAAATGAAATTATTTTGATAATTTGAAAGATTGAATTTGTTTTTCATTTCTTATACCTACCTGAGAAATATACTTCGATACGAAATATGAATACCTGCTCCAAAGACTGCTTGGCACTGGAAGCCCTCTACTGGTAGTGAGATGTTAGCTCTGGACTTTGAACTGGTTTTGTCAGTTATAATAAGACCTTACCTACCTGCGGACTTGATGGAGTGACCTGAAGGTGTAATTTGGTGATTACAACAATAGGAACTTCTAGACTAGTGGAACTAGGTGTGCCGAGTTTGGGTTCGTTTTGTTGGTTATGATGAGACCTTACCACCGGACTTGATGGAGTAACCTGAAGGTGTAATTCGGTGATTACAAGTGGAACTCCTAGACTAGTAGAACTAGGTGTGCCGAGTTTGGGTTCGTTTTGTTAGTTATGATGAGACCTTACCACCAGACTTGATGGAGTGACCTGAAGGGGTAATTCAGTAACTACTGCTGGAATTTCTGAACGAGTAGAACTAGGTGTGCTGAATTTGGGCTCCGTTTTGTTAGTTATGACGAGTCCATACCTCCGGACTTGATGGAGTGACCTGAAGGTGTAAATCGGTGATTGCAACTGGAACTTCTAGACTGGTAGAACTAAGTGTGCCGAGTTTGGGTTCGTTTTGTTAGTTATGATGAGACCTTACAACCAGACTTGA